CTGAATATAGAAGAAGGAACATAAATTTGCCCAGGAAAACAAACACATTCTTAGCAGAAACAGCATATACAACAGCATGGAGTTTACTCTGTCTAAATAAAACAGAGGTCCTCTGAGCAGTAGGAGGGCAAAAGGGTGGAAATGGAGAGATCTCTCATTCTGGAAACAGATTTCTAATTCTGGAGAGAGATTTTTCAGTAACAAAATAGCAGATAATACTCACATTCATATGCAAGTCATAGTTGCTGGGGAAAAAAAAAAACATTTTTGACTGCCAGTTTAGAATAGCTATGCTCTTGTTCCCATCTATTGCTGAAAATAATCAAGAATTTGCAGAATTTTCCACCATTCCCAAGAGAGAGTATGGTCTGGATCAGTCCAACCTATTATTCTCATCCTGTTAATTCCTACTGTTACCGTGAATAAGTAAGAAATGTGATGTGACTAAACACCGCCACAGGCTGCATGATGTAGCAAAAGGCTAATTTATTTTTGATCTACCGCTTACGTGTAAACATCTGAGTCAGAGCATCTCGCCTTCTCTCCAGGGACTCCTGCAGCAAACTTGATAAAACACCTGAACATTATGCAGCAGAACTTGGATTCATTTCTCCTCTCTTCTAACTCTTTGCTTTAAACATCTGTTTTCCCCTGTGGAAGCCTGAATTCATCAGCAGCGGAACAACATAACGATCTTATATATATATATAATCGTGCTCTTGACTATGGAACGTCAACACATGTATAGTGTTCTCCTGCTCAGTATGGCTTCCTGAACTACTCTGATAATCAAGTAACTAAAACTAGTGCTTCTCTGTGTTGCCACAGTCCACCAAAATAAACACCTACATCTGCACCACATTGAATTGTGCTGTCTTTGTGTAGCAGGCACTGTTGGTTGTCTACCAAACACCCATTCTTATCTCTTCTTTCATAACATAACCATCAGGCATCACACAGCCAGGTGCCTCAAGGAGAGGTGGCTCCTGATAATAGTAATCTCACAAAAGGTCATGCCACTCCTTTGGGGTGATTGGCTCAGGCACAGACTAATAACCTAGTGATGGCTAATGAGATACAAGAAGTCTATGGGAGAAATCTCTCATTCTTAATAAAAAGCCATTGGAAGATCCTGTGAGTTGTCCTTTTTAGATGACTGCTTAAATTTTTTCAGCCATTTTGTTGCAGCCTGAAGATACAGCCAACACTGAGGGTGTCAAAATAGAGATTAAAATAACCAGATACCAGACCATGAGCTTCTGGCCAGTGCCCTCATCCTAAAATACACTGCTCCTCTACATTTTCTTCAAGGATGATTTTTCTTTAATGTTGGAGGTAAGGCGTAAAGGCCCTAGACTTATTTCTTGAAACTAATTCTACTCAGCCAATTCAGTACTATTGAAAACTTATTTCCATTAATTCACAGTAGCTAATATGATGATTGACTCCGATATTCTTAGGCAATATTCATTAAACATAGAAATAGGATAGTCAAAGTGAAAATGTGAAAGGAAGTAATAATATCATTGATAAAGACAAAAGAAGAATAGAACTTAAAATGTAAACAAAAGTACAACAGGTGAAGAGAGGGCTATTCTCTCCCATTAATAGAAGAATTCTGTCATTTGAGATATATACTACAACTGAAAACCTTTTGAGCTGAAAAAGGATGATAATATACAAGAAACATACAGCAAACAGCCTAGAACTGGTTGGGATCCAAAAATCAGTAACATATGACCAAATGGTAGAACTGTAGAAATAAAGAAGTTCGACAAAATTACTGTAAATGTTCATTGATCATGAATATTAAAAGCTATGAGATGTCCTTTGTGTAGGAGAATGTATTATTCATTCATGATCAACAAGACAATTCTTTGAGCTACTCCTCAATATGGTGGAGGATTTACCCTGGACCAGCCACTCCCAACTATCCACCACCTCTCTGAAAACAGTTGGCCAAGGTGAGGTGCACAAGTTACAAACATCTCTAAGCCTCAGTTCCCTTTCCTGTAATTAGAGACAATACATAATTCAAAGGTCTGTTAGTGGCTGAAATAAGATAGTATTTGTAAAGTACTGAGCTAGTATTTTCATACACTGTACAGTCCTGATTTTTAAGGTCCTTTTCCTTTCTTCTGCCCCTCCTGAGAAGACCACAAGGGTCATTGTCCCCTTGGAGTAAACGTGAAGTCTGCCTTCTGCTGACTAATTAGAGCCATATTTATGAGACTAACTTGATTTGGGGCAGCCATTTCTCCTAGATGGCTGTGGGAAAAACAGAAAGTCAGCTCAAATAGCATCAGTCCCTCAAAGTCAAGTGCTTCCTCAAAGGACTCACATTGTTATGGCCTAAAACAGCATCACACTGGAGTGTAATAATTTGCTTCTGTGACTTTATTTCATACTAAATTGGAAGTTACTAAAGGAAACACCCTTCTACAACCCAGAGTCTAGCACAGAGCTTGAGCATAGCAGATGCTCAGTAAGGAAGAGAGAGAGGGAGGGGGAGAGGAGGGAAGAAAGGGAAGAAGGAAGGTAGTTGCTACAAATGTCCAGATGGGTAATGTTTAACTTCTAGACCAGGGCTGTCTGGTATAAATGTAATGCAAAGCATAAATACGAGCTACATATGTAATTTCATATTTTCGAGTAGCCATACTACAAAAAACCCTGTGAGATTACTTTTAATAATATATTTTATTTAGCACAATATACCCAAAATATTATTATATCAACATATAATCAATGTGAAAAATGATTATGGGCTTTTTGTTCTTTTGTAATGTCTTTAAAATCTATTGTGTATTTTACATTTACTAAGTGTCTCAATTCAGATTAAACAAATTTCAAAGTGTTCAGTAGACACATGTGGCTAAAAGCTACCACACTGAATAGCACAGCTCTACTCTCTACAAACCTTTCAGTACCTTTCCCGTTTCAAAAGCCCTGTCTTCTACTATAGGGGCCTCACCTACTTCCAGGTGCCCAGCTAGCTCCCCCGACCCCAACTCCAACGCCCCCATTACCCTTATTTCACTCCAGCTTACAAAATATATCCATTCCATAATCCGGATTTGTGCCCTACAGTTTTATTTAATCTGGTGTTATTGGATATTAACCAGTTTAAGTGGTTAACACTCCCAAGTAATCACCTGAATGTTAATAGATGTTGGGAAGGAAGGCTCTCTCTTCCCACCAAATGATTAATATGTGTTCTATATATTTTAAAAAAATATGAACAATAACTTTAGTTAGCCCCTTCTCTGAAGGCACCTAATGAGGTCCCATGGTACACCTGAAGACACGGGTGAAACAGAGTATTTCAGCACAAGACTTCAGAACGCAGACACTACCATTCGTCTTGATATCCCCAGTACAAAGCACTGTGTCTGGTGTGTAGAGAGCACAATAAATACTGACATCAACTGTGATTGAAACTAGTTGAGAATCACAAGTGAGAGTTCAATCAGAGCTACTTAAGGTTACTTAACAGGAAAAAGAAATTCATGGGGCACGGCTAAGAGACTTGTTGGGTTTCTAAGTAAAAGAGTCAGTCTTTTATTGGAAAGTAGGGAAAACAAAATGACATAATGGGAAAGAAATACGATGGCAGAAATCCCTTAAAGTCCATGGATCAGAGAGCAGAGTGTATATGATTAATCTTCAGGGATTGTGGGGAGAGGATATTTACACATTCATTCAACAAATATTTTTAAACTCCAGTGCTATGCTGGCTCCGTGCTTGGCACAGCCATGCAAACATGAGTAAGAAATTTTTCCTGCTCTCAAAGAGCTCCAAACCAGACAGAAGACTGACAAAGAAATAAGAAATGTCCTGCCCTCTGATGTGATGAAGGTGTGCTGTGATGGAGATATTTACAAAGTAGAATGGGGTCAAAGGGGAAGGAGTGAGCACGTACGCAGTTCTGAGTGGCTTCATAGAAGAAGAGAAAATAAGGCCTGAAGGATGAGTAGGGGTCTGCCCAGCATATTTAACAACATGTACAAAAGCACAGAGGTAAGAAGTATAGGGACCATTCTAGAAGTCAGAAAAATTCCCAACGTGCTGCTCCACGTTGGGTAAAAAGTAGAGTGATAGATGATGTTGAAAATGTAGACTGAGTCCAAATCACAAAGGACCTTGCATGTTCTGCAAAAGGATTTGGACTTTAGCCTGAAAGTGATATGTAACAAGTCTAAGTGTTAAGCAGATACGTGACAGGATAAAATTTCCTGTCCCACATGAAGCCAGAAGTGATCACGTGACTTGCTTTGGCCAATGAAATGTGAATAGGAGTAATGCGGGTCACTTCTGAAGGATAGTTGAAGAGAAAGTGCATGCTTTGGCCCATTCTCCTTTACCTCCACCCAGTGACCAGCAATCTTAAAACACTGGCTTTTCATCCTTGATTCCTGAGTGATGACAATGAGCATAACACTTCTGTTGAATGACAGTAGACTTGTAGCAGATGTAAGAAATAAACCTTTGTTGTCTTAGCCACTTTGATTTGGAGGTTGTTTATTACTGAAGCAATGTTTCAGGCTACCCTGGCTTATATTGTAGTAGAATAACACAATCAGATTTATATTTTAAAGGTAACTGATGGCAATATGGAAGATGCCTTAAAGGTAGGAGAGGAAGTTAATTACTGACAAGGAAGCCAATAGGGAGATATTGAAATAATTCTAGGATAGAAATAATAAAGGCCTAAAATTAGAACAGGAGAGGTAAAGAAAATGAGCTATACACAAAAAAATTATTTAGAGAGCAATAGCAACGAGAATGTGGTGACTAATAAAATATGGTTCTATACTTACTTGGCAGGAGAGACACCGTGATCACAAAGGTAGTTTTCCCAGGGCAAGGCTCATCCATTGCACTCCAGGTGTGCTGACCCCTGCAATTTCCCCAGGTGTGGGAAATCTGACTGTATAACCTGTGGTAATGGGGGATGTGTTCATGCTCTTCCCCAATCAAAAATACATGTACACATATATGGTTTATAAATGTTTTAGTTATCTATTCTTATATAACAAATTACTCCAAAACATATCAGCTTAAAACAACGTAAGTATGTATTCTCTCGCAGTTTTCTGTGGGTCAGGAAGTTTAAGAACGGCTTAGCCAGTGGTTATGGCTCAGGATCTCTTACGAGGTTGCAGTCAAGATGTGGGCCAAGGCTGCCGTATCTGAAGGTTTGATTGGGTTGTAGGGGTGTCCAGCCTGTGGCATCTGTGGGCCACACTGGAAGAAGAAGAATTGTCTTGGGCCACACATTAAATACACAAACACTAATGAAAACTGATGAACAAAAAAAAAGGTTTTAAGTAAATTTCTGCTTTTGTGTTGGGCCACATTCATAGCCATCCTGGGCCACAGGATCCACTCCCAAGACGATTCACTCCCATGGCTGACAGGTTGACGCTAACTGTTGGCAAGAGCATTCAGTTCCTCCTCACGTGGATCTCCCCAAAGAGTTGCTTGAATGTCTTTATGATATGGCAGCTGGCCCCCAGAGCAAGTGACCTAAAAATTTAAGGTGAGACAGCACTTTCTCTTATGATCTGACTTTGAAGTCACATACCATCACTTCTAGCATATTCCTTAGTCACATAGGCCTATCATGATACATTGTCAGAGAGATCATAAAAAATGCAAATTTTAGAAGGTGAGGATAATTGGGGGTGTCTTGGAGCCAGACTACCACAATGAACAAGATGGAAGCACAGAAGCTAACTGAGATTTCTAGTTTGAGTGATAGGATCCAATGATGGGATTGAGCAAGATGCAAAGCACAAGAGAAAAATAATCAGATTGGGAGGGGAGAGAGATTAGTTCAATTTTGGACCTGCCATGTGGAGGAACCTAAAAGGCATACAAAAGTGAAAAGCCTAATTATCATTTGAAAAAAGGAAGTTCTGCCCTGGCTGGTGTGGCTCAGTGGACTGAGTGCCAGCCTGTGAAGCAAAGAGTCACTGGTTCGATTCCCAGTCAGGGCACATGCCTGGGTTGCAGGCCAGGTCCCCAGTAGGGGGTCTGTGAGAGGCAACTGATCCACAAATCTCACAGTACACTGATGTTTACCTCCCTCTCTTTCTCCCTCCCTTCCCCTCTGTCTAAAAATAAATAAATAAAATCTTTTTTTAAAAAAAGAAAGAAAGAAAAAAAGAAGTTCCCAAGAGAGATCAGAGTTGAGGATGTCAGAATCAATATATCTAAGTGGAGGAGGAAACCAAGGCAGAAAAGAATATGGCCCAGGAAGGGTGTACAGAAAGAAAAGGGAAGAAACACTAAATCTGGAACAAAACCTTATTGAGAGAGTCCTTTATGTAAGGAATTGGGTGTAGGAGGAAAAGTCAGCAAATGACACAGGGAAGAAAAAATCGGGGAAGTGAACAGAGCATAAGAGCTGTGTAGGCACTGAAGGTAGTTGAGGGGAGGGGTCAGTGAGTTCCAGCAGCAGTGCCAAGTGACACAAGCAGCCAAGTAACAGGAAACGAAGGCCTGCCCCCCCAGATTTCACAGTTCAGATGGGCGGCCATCGGGTACAAGGTCTCCGTCGAGTTGGGGTGTGGAGCTTGCCTAAATGCATGACTTCGCCCATTAGATTAAACCACTCCTGTCATGCAATGGAGGTGGTTTCCCCTGGTAACGGGCAGACCCATTACCTAAGAACTAATATGTACAGTAGTGAAAGATTCCTTTTAGCATGGGTCTGTCGTGCTCCATCTATGGGTGGTGGAGAATAAATGAATGGGTCAAACAAAGCACTATGTCCTCTGCCCAAACAACCACACCTTCAAGAAAAGCTTCACGTGTTGATAACCTTCTTGGGGTGACCAGGAAGCTAATCTACAGGCTGCAGTTATAGGGTAGAAAGGTAGTTATAAGGTAGGTATTTTGTTCACCAACACATTACAAGTGCCTGGCACATAATAGATGCTCAAAAAATATTAGTCAAATAAATCAATTGGGATTGAATCCTAAGGTCAGGGAATACTCAAATGGCAATATTATTTTTAGCCAAATAAGAAAAAACTCCAGTGACTTACCAGAAACTAAAAGCAGAAATGTCGTGATTGTTGCTGTATTTGAAGTCATTACCTTTGGTTTTGAAGACAATGCATCACAGCATCCCTGAAATCTTTGTCTAGGGTAAATCCCAGCCCAATAGTATGCTCGGGGGCCGATGGCAGGAGGTAATACAGGAAACTAAAACTTATTACCACTCAAAATTAATGGCTTTGGCCATAGATGTCATTATTTACTGAGCCTTCCTTGGTCTTAGACATCCTGCCAGGAAATTACGGAAATAAATTCAGTCAAAAAGCAAGAAAGGGCACTGCTAGGAGGGTCCAGCTCCACTAATCTGTTCATTTATTCATTCACATATTCGTCATTCAGGAAGCTTTCACTGAGTGAATACTATGTGCCAGATGCTGCTAGGCCGAAATCTTTTCGGGAATAAATAGTGTTGGTTTTGTTCCAGTGATGGCAGTTATTATTTTATTCCTGTCACCACCAACTTCATCATTATTCATGTAATGTTGGAGGCATATGAAGGCCACCATGGGAACCTAGGGAAAGTCACCTAGAGGTCTGCCGACTCATTTTTCCTCCCACAAGGAGTGGGGAGGACATTCACTCAGCAGTCTCACCTGCACCACCTGCCAGTCATTTTATTCTAAGAAGTGATCGATCTAGGCCCATGGATCTAAGTTACCAATGTGTGGGGGTGAAGGGAGACCATTTGGGCTTATTTTAGAGGGAAAACTCCATTCCCTTATTCTGGCAATATTTTCCCAGTTATAAATTAATCCTCAGAATCATATAAGAAACTTAGGATGAGAGTGGATAAATGAACAGCTGCAGTACATTAAATCCTTATTTTCATTCTAAGAGCTTGATCTGGCTGGTTATCAGTTTTTAGCTTTTCACAACATCTGTAGAAGCAAACCATAATATAGCAGGAACTACTTAGGAGCTAACAAGATACCACCATGGTTGCATGCATTTAGAAATGGTCCATCGATGACACAGGAGAAATCAGATGGTTACACTTTTGCAACATTTTTTAAAGACCTTCAATAAGGTCTGATACCTTGAAATATAAATGAGGGAAAAAGAAGTCTGTGCCCATGCTAAAATTCAGGCAAAGAAACAATGGAAAGCTATCTTTGACCCCATCAAACAACCCCTTCTGTCTTAAGCCACCAAGAACCCCCTATATCTCCTTGGAATCTTAACTTCCTTCCAAATATCCATTGGACTTCCCTTCATTCCCCAGGTAGGCCTGGTGTCGCTAAGAGTTCTTAACATGATGAACTGGTTTCCTTGGGCTGCTTTAACTAATCACTACAGACGGGATGGCTTAAAACAACTGAAATTTCTTTTCTCACAGTCCTAAAGATTAGAGGAATGAAATGAAGGTGTTGGCAGGGCCACACTCCCTCTGAGGCTCTGGGCAAGAGTCCTCCCCTGCCTCTTCCAGCTTCTGTGACTGCCGACAACCTGTAGCATTCCTTGGCTTGTGGCTGCATCACTCAGTTTTCTGCCTGATCCTCGCATGGCTGTCCTCCTCCATGTGTGTCTCTGTGTCCAAATCTCTGTCTCCTTATAAGGATGTGGGGATTAGATGTAGGGCCCATTCTAATCCAGTATGACCTCATCTTAACCTGGTTACATCTGCAAAGACCCAATTCCAGATAAGGTCACATTTGCAAGGACCAGGGGGTTAGGACTTCAACCTAACCTTTTGGAACGCACAGTTTAACACATAAAAATGCCCAAACTCTGAGTCTTCTAATGTCGGGAAATGCCACATCATAAACATGAGCCAGCCCTCAGGATTGCTGGGCCTCCTATGTGAAACTGGAATAATTCCCGTTTTCCTCAAAAGTTTGTTGCAAGTTACAATGAAAAATTTCCTTTTTTCTCTCCCCCTTCTTTCCTTCAGTCCTTCCTTACCTTTCAGAATCCTCGTGAGTACTTTCTGTGAGGACCCAGGGTCAGTGCTAGGAAGGATAGAAAGATGAAGTGAGATTCCCGCATTCATAAGATTTAGACCTTGTGGAAAGATTCAACTGTCCATAAAAGTCGTAATATATGGCAAAAGGTGGTAATTGCCAGGAGAGTCACAGACACAGTGACACAAAAATACAGACAACATAGATCAATTCCTGCTGGGAAGAGTCACGCAAGGCATCTGAGCTTGATCTTGAAGAATATCTAGGATTTGGATTTTCAGAGATTAGAAGAGTTCTCAGTGGAGCTGGGTGAGCAGAGGCACAGTGGCAGGGAAGCGCAGCAGGTTTGTGAGTTTCTCAGCGTCTCCAGGCCCCTCCCGTGTCACTGCTACAAATGCATTTCAGAAGATTTACTAGGAAAGACATTAGAAGGAAAAGCACCAAAAAGGTAGCCAACTGTGACCGTCTCGGAGAGATACAATTTTCCTTCGTGCTGTTATTTTCTTTCAGATTTTCTTCAATGCTCATGCATTATTTATAATTAGGAAAAATAATTTTTTCCATTTTTCAAGAAAGAGTTTCAAATGCCACACACACACAAAAGAGAGAGAGAGAGGGAGAGAGAGAGAGAGAAATCATATCTTTCCAGATACAGAATTCTGACAGAGTGAGATGACTTTGATCATGCCAATTACGACCCAGAGGGAGACAGGACCAGGGGAGGCAGCTGATCCTCTGGTCCCTGCAGCTGGGTCTGCACTGGCCTGGCAGTCAGGGCTGGAATTTGAGCAAAGCTGCAATTTTTCCTTTAGGTAAGCAATGTCTGCCCTCTGCTGGTGATTCAAAAGCTACCAAAGGCAAGAGTTCTTTCTCATCTTCTTAAGACAACATGACGAAAAGAAATGTGAAATTATCATTCAGATCTTAAAGGCATGTGTATTGATACTTTGACCAGGTCTGTGATTTCTTTAAGTGTGCCCCCCGCCGTTGGAGAGCAATGCCCATTTGTTCACTGTCCCTTTGGGGCCAGCAGCACAGCCCATCCTCAGGCTGGGACTGTCCCCGAGTTGGAGGAACTCATTCAGGTGGTAGAAAGGCAGGTTTGGTTTGGGGGGCATGATACCTCGCGGAGTGGGGGGAGCAGTGCGAGGTTTGCACAAAGTGACATGAAGAGGCGCAAACACTGAAAGGCGTCAACTGGTCTCCTAACGTACAAGGTTTGGTTGGGGCGTTTTCTGAATGAGGCTGGCTTGAGACTCTTAGATGAGTTTCTCATCTCATCACCATCAACTTTCAGGCTGATCTCTGGTTATGAGACTGTTCTGCGGCTTCACTGCAGGACGTCTATTTAGCAGCATCCCTCACCTCTACTCATTAACTGCCACACCCACACCACCTTCCTGCACGTCGTGACAACCCAAAATACCTCTAGGCATTACTAAACATCCTCCCCACCCCAGGAGAGGGGACAAAATCACCCCCGGCTGAGAAACACTGCTTTAGACCCAGCTGCTTGTCCTTTTCCAACCTGGCTGCGTTTCCAAACCTTCAGTCACACTGCGTGCAAATAAGTAGGGGAGGAGGACCAAACGCCAGGAGACTGTAGTCACCCTGGGCCAAGCCCCGTACCTCCTGGGGCTTGGTTTCGTCAACTGTGAGATTTGGTTGTCATAACTTTCATCTTGCTAGACTGCTCTGTTTGTTTAGTCCACAAAAACTCACTCAGCCCCTGTCGTGTGCGGTGAGGGCCGCTCGCGGAACAGACAAGTTAGAATGGGAAACTCCTGTGACGAGCGCGACGGACGAATCAGGTGTGCTTCAGCGGTCAAGTGAATGACGACCCTTCAGAAGGCGGAACTCGCGGGAAGGCTGGATTCGGGCCCACAACCGTGTGCACATTTCTGAAATCCTGAAAACATTTTCTTCTTCTTCTTTTTTTTAACGATTTGTCATCAAAATCTCTTTGGTGGCAAAACCTGATGTGAATGAGGCTACTCACAATCTTCGTTGGTCTACTGAGTGTGGATATTTGTCTTTTTCTGCATGATACTACTGTGTTTAGTCAAGGGGTGCTTCCCCAGCTGTACTCAGGGTATTCAATTGTACATAACGTGTATACTTTCTTACCTTTCTAACAGGCAAACAATCTAAAGGCCAAAACGCACGAGGCCCCGAGGGTGTTGCAAAGGGACTATGGACCAGTATATACAAATTAGCAGGGTAATGAGCAACATGGGAGCTAACATTTTCACGTAGTAGAAGTTCTTAATTCTCATTTGCACGTGGCACCATGCCAGGCAAACTCTAAGCTTATGGTATGAGATTGATCAGGAAAGAAGGGTGTGTGAGTTTGCAGGTAGAACATGTGAATTTTGTCACATGATCAGCATAAGCAGCCCTTGTCCAAAGACCAAAGACAATCCCACTCCACTAGCAGGGATCAAGTTCAGCTCATCAAGTTCGCCTCCCCTGTCCTCACACTTTCTTCACGCCCGTTCAACCCAGCAACCATAGACGGAGATGAACATCTGCACCCTGGGGTCAGGCTCTCCTCTGAGTGTGAGACCCGGGGGAATGGAGGGGATGCTTTTACCCTGTTGTTCAGTGTGCAGAAGACTTTATAGGAGACATGGAGTAATCTCTCAGAAAATAAGAAGAGAGATTTCTGGCAAGTTCAAGTTCACAACTGCTCAATCAGTTTTTACTTAAAATGATTTTAGTTTAAACCAGAACTTGATATCTCATTGTCACCAACTTCAATTTCTCCACCGTCAAAAAACTCATTGCCTCCTTGACTTGTTTCTTTGCTCCCATTTATAATTTGAAAATACTTCAGGGGAGGGGGGTGTACTCACAACACAACTACAGGTGATGTATTATAGAAGTGTACACTTGAAACCCATATATTTTATTAACTAATGTCACCCCAAGAAATGCAATAAATTTTTTAAAAGAAACAAGAAGAGATAATTATTGTTGTTTGAAACAAAAGAATAATAGTAATAATTTATTTGTAAATATGTGTCAAATCTGTATTATGTGCCAAATGGTGATGAGAATATGCACACGAATGAGACACAGTTGGTCCTTGCTTTGGAAAAGTCCCGGTCCAAGAAGAGAGACCCTTGGACAATAGTCTGACACCAAACACTATGGAAACAAATGCCATTTTTCATTTTCCCTAAGTTTGCAGACTAAAGCTCAGCAAGCTAGGGCCCACAGGTCGGCTGCATATTCTTGTAAATAAAGTTTTAGTAGAACACAGACACACACATTGGTTTATGTAATGTGTGTGGCTGGTTTTGCACTACAAAGGCAAGGTTGAGTTTGCTCTGAGTATGCAACAGAGACCGTATGACTTGCAAAGCCTAAAATATTTACTGTAGCCCTTTAAAAAAAGTTTCCAAACCCCTGGACTTAAGGATAGGGTTGTGGCAGGGAAAGCTGTGAAAGAAGATTGAAAGAAAGTAATTGTTGACTGTCAAGTGCCTGAAAAAAACAGCAAAATGTCAGTGTATCAGTTAGCATTTGGTTCAGCTACAGGTAACAGAAACCCAATTATGGGCTTAAACAAAATTAAGGTTTTATTTCTCCTACATAAAAGAAGTCAAGAAATTAACCTAGTGGCTCCAAGGTCATCTGAGACCTAGCTTCTTTTATCTTTTTGTTCCCCCTCATTCTTAGCAGGTTTTCTTCCTCCACATTGTTTCATGATGCAATATGGCTGCTGGAGCTCCAGCAATTACATCTGTGTCCCAAACAAGCAGAGAAAGGGAAGGACAAAAGAATCTACATTCTAGCTGAATCTATTCCCTTTAAGAAAATGACCCAGAATCCCCACTTTACATGTCCATTTCCAACCCTTTGGCTACCCCTTGCTGTAAGAAAGATGGAAATGCAGTCTTCCACAACACCCTTCACATGTATCCTTCACACTTTTTCCCATTGAACCACAAACTATATAGATGCTAATACCCTGATCGCTAGCATGAGGGAACCTCTTACTGAGTTCCAAATAGACATTCCAAATAATGCTCACATTAGAAATAGAAAAATCCCTTCCTCCACCTTGTTAATATATTTGTTCATTTCCCAAGTATTTGTAGATCCTCTGTGTACTCAACACTGTACTTGCCACTGAAACCTTTTGTTTTCATATTCTTTCTTTTTTATTGCTACATCAGCATTTTCCTTATTATTTCAGGAAACAGTAGCTTAGATGAAACTTCATGAGGGAACAACTAAACCAAGAAATCATTCTATGATTAATAAATGTGAGTTTATGTTCCTTCATATGGTATACATGTGTAACTGTTATCAACTGGTATATATCTTTGAACAGTATGTCCAAATTGTATGGGTTAAAGTAGTCTTTTGTTATTGTTGATGTAAAGGGAATTTAAGACTTATAAAAGCACTCCTGCACTGTAATTATTTGTTTACGTTTCTCTCCCCCCCCCCACTAGACTATCCACTCCTTAAGAACTTCTTTGTATTTGCTAACTACAGATGCTTAATAAACGTTTGATGAGGGAATAAAAGAATGATCTGCCAAACTCCAGTTGAGTGTCCTCTGCCTTTACAACTAAGCTCAGCAGCTGTTTCCTGTTCTCTGGAGATAGACGACAAAGATGCAGATAATACTTACATATGGGCTGAACTTAACAACTTCCCAAGTGCTTAATTTTAAAATTAAATTAAATGAATCCAAAAGTACACCATGACCACAAAGCAGCAAAAGTGTCCCTTTTACACTAAATAAAGTTGTCTCCTTCCTTCCAGTTGGCCCCCTAAACACTGGGCTTGAACTGCAGGGTTTGAAAGTGCGCATTTCAGATGCTAGGAGAAGCATCAGTGACCCTCTTCACCTGAACACAAAAACAAGAGAGAATTTAGTGTCAAAGGGACTACAGGTTGGGACTTAGTAAAGTTTTGCTGAACATAAACTATGTGCATCAGTAAAGTGCTTTCCTAAAAAAGGTGCAGAATCACCACAATAAACGGTAAACACTGTGGTTCCAAAATTACTCCCCTCATGCAGGGGGTTTGG